CAGACCCTGGACTTAGACCTCCAATGACTTATTATAATCCCAATTTTCGAGAACAAATCCGAAGAGCCTATCTACAAAGGGGTCCTTGTCAGCCTAAAAGCCAAAATGACATGCCTCAAACACTTATGGGGGAGAGTAATCGACGTTTTCTTGTCAAATGGTTTGATTCATTTGTTTGGTTGGAGTACAGTAAAGAAAAAGATGCTGCATTTTGTCTTCATTGTTATCTTTTTAAATGCGTCTTTGATAAACAAGGAAAGGCTGGAAGTGATGTCTTCACTGAGAAAGGGTTTAAAAATTGGAGGAAGGGACCCGAGAATTTTAGGGACCATGTTGGACAAGTTGGAAGTCTTCACAATAAAGCTACACAACATTGTACAGATTTAATGAATCAGAAGCAACACGTTGAAACCATTGTGATCAAGCAGACAGACCAAGCTCGTATTAATTATCGCATTCTATTAACTGCCGCACTTGATTGCACTAGATATTTATTGCGACAAGGGCTTCCTTTTCGTGGCCATGATGAAAGCGAAACATCTAGCAATAAGGGTAATTATGTGGAGCTTTTGCAATTTCTTGCATATCATGATGAGAAAGTTCATGCCGTTGTGTTTGAGAACGCTCCAAAGAATCTCAAGTATATTGCTCCTAAAATTCAAAAAGAGCTTGTCAATTCTTGTGCCGCTGAAACCATTGATGCAATTATTAGTGATATGGACGATGCATTCTTTTCTATATTGGTAGATGAATCACGTGATGTTTCAATAAGAGAGCAAATGGCGGTGGTGTTGCGTTATGTGAACAAAAAAGGGCAAGTAATTGAAAGGTTTGTGGGTGTCCAATATGTCTCTGATACAACTAGTAGCAAATTGAAAGAGGCAATTGAGCAGTTGATTTCTTCAACAAATTTGAGTATGTCTAGGCTACGAGGACAGGGGTATGATGGTGCTAGTAATATGAGAGGTGAGCTCAATGGTCTTAAAACACAGATTTTGAGAGAATATCCTCAAGCATATTATGTCCATTGTTTTGCACATCAACTACAACTAGCTCTTGTAGCCGTGGCAAAGGGAAATGAAAACATTGCTACTTTCTTCACAACGGCTAGTAGTGTCGTTAATATTATTGGAGCATCGTGTAAGCGTCGTGATGCACTTAGAGAGCAACAACAAAAAGATATTATGAAAGCTCTTGAAATTGATGATCTTGAAACGGGGCAAGGGTTAAATCAAGAGACTACTCTCAAACG